AAAATTCGATTGATCTCATCTTCTTTGATTTGTGACTAGATTTATCTAGGTCTGAGAATGGTAAATTGAGGTTTCCCTACTTTTAAAATTTTACAGTCTATTACTTCCTGTAACTCATTTAAATTTTCCTTCCAACAATTTGGATGCTATGCCATCATAGTAATTCATTGTCTGTTGTTCCTTTTAGCAGAAAAGTAGTTTCCCTGATTATCTCTTTCAATTAGGTCTGCTTTTGTTTTGTCTTAGATCATGATTGCTACCCTTGCTTCTTTTTTTTTTTTACTTCAGTTGAAGCAGAGTAGATTCTGCCTCTCGCCCTTACATAAATTCCGTGTATCTTTCTGTTTCAAGTGTACTTTTTGTAAATAATATTGTTAGATTTTGGTTTCTGATCCATTCTGCTATCCTTTTCTGTTTCATGGGTGAATTAATCCCATTCATATTTACATGGATGATTGTTAACTGTATTTCCCTTCATCCTATTCTCTTATCCTTCTCTAATATAGATATATTTATATATATATTTATTTTTTATTTATTTATTTATTTTACTATGCTTTTACTATCCTCCTCAGTAGTCTGTTTTGCTTCTGACAACAGCCTCCCTTTATTTGCCTTCCTTTTTACAGTCCTGCCCCAGCCTCTTAACTCCTTTCCCTCCTACTTCCCTGTTGGGTAAGATGAATTTCTGTACCCAAATGTGCATGTCTGTGTATTCTTCCTTCCTTGAACTAGTTCAGATTAGAGGGAGGTTCAAATGTTGCCTGCTCCACCATCCCCTCCCCCCATTCTCTCTTCTGTTATATAAACTCTTCCTTGTGTGCCCCATTTATATGAAATAAATTTCCCCATTCTTCCTCACTTTTCCCCCCTCTCACAATGTATCCTTCTTTTTCATCCTTCCACTTTGCTTCTGAGATCATCCCAACATAATAGAATTATATGCAGGTCCTGTAAGTTGTTGTTATTTGTCCTTTGTTTTTTAAGAGTACCATTGACGTCACAGAGTGATATTGAGTTGAGTATGAGTTGGATTTAATTGAGGCCGAGTTGCACAAAGTCGTTAGCCTCACTCTCTCTTCCAGAGTCTTTGAAGTCCAATAGCAAGATAAAAGCCAAAACAGTTGGCGATGGCCTGGGATGCAGTGGATGACCTTGGTGTCTTCAATGTCTGACCAAGTTCTAAGTGCTCCACAGTGCCTGCTTCAACTGCTTTCATGGCCATTGGAACACATTGTTCTCATTAACCCATTCCACCAGGGGAAGTCTTCACATGCTTGGGGAAGACGTCTCCCTAAGTCACCATCAGGTTTTAGGCCTGTTGGTTATACTCATCCTGTTTTAGCTCGTCCGCCAAGATGGTCTTACCAAGGTGTGACTGCTGTGCCTGATGCAGCTTTTTGCAGCCACAGGTGAGAGTTGAATGATGGCTGGATACCAGAGGTGAATGAACAGCCCTGAAAAGGCTTATGATAATAAAGGTCTGAGGAATTATATGTATTATCTTTCTATATGGGATTGAGGGTACCGTTTGATATTGTAAACAGATTGAGGGTAAACAGTTTAACTTTGTTTAGTCCCTTATTTGTGACATTTCTCATTCATATTTACCTTTTTATGCTTCTCTTGAGTCTTATTTTTGAATGTCAAATTTTCCATCTAGCTCTTGTCTCTTTATCAGGAATGCTTGAAAGTCTTCTGTTTCATCAAATGTCCCAGCCCTCCCCACCCATCCCCCCTCCTTTTTTTTTTTGCTTATTAGATTATACTCAGTTTTGTTGGCTAGGTTATTCTTGTTTGTAATCTTACCTTCTTTGTTTTCTAGAATGTCATATTCCATGGCCTCTGATTCTTTAATGTAGAAGCTGCTAAATCTTGTGTGATCCTGACTGTGGCTTCATAGTATTTGAATTCTTTCTTTATCTGTGCTTATTGTTTTTTCTTCTTGACCTGGGAGTTCTGGATTTGAGTTACAATATTCCTGGGAATTTACTTTCATTTGATATTTGTCTTATAAGATGACTGGTAGAGTCTTTCAGTTGCTACTTTACCTTCTAGTTCTATGATGTTTGATTTTTTAAAAATTGTTTCTTGATGTCTAATGTAGCCATTAGCTTGCCAAGGGCCATTTCTGATTTTTAAGGTGTTATTTTCTGCAGTAAGATCCTGTGTCTCTTATTGTTTGGCCACTTCAAATTTTTAAGGAGTTATTTTCGTCAGTATTTTTTGTTCTTCTTTTACCAAGATAGTCATTCTCTTTTCATAATTTCTTGCACAACTCTCATTTCTTTTCCTATATTTTTCTCTAGTGGTCTTATTTGATTTTTTAAAAAAATTTTTGCTCTTTTATTTATCTCTTTCTTTAATTCTTCTAGGAATCTCATTGGATTTGTGTCCAGTCTGCATTTTTCTTTGAGGATTTGCTTTTAGATGTTTTCAAGATATTGTCTTCTTCTGTGTTTGTGTCTTAAGCTTCCTCAATACCATAGTAGGTTTTTATAGTTGGGTTGTTTGTTTGTTTGCTTATTTTTTGCTTATTTTATTTTGCTTATTTTTCCAGCCTCCTTCATAGAGTACTTTGTACTCTATGTTAATGTTGTCTTCTGCTCACTTCTGGGAAGGAGGAGGCAGATTTCCAGCCTCAGTTTCTATCTTTTCTGTCATTCTGCTTTTAAAGCTCACTCTGAGGCCGATAACTTCTCAGTACTCCAAAAGTGGTGTGATTGGGGTTGGGAGAGTTTGTTTATTGCCCTCCTGGTCTCTCTGCAAATTCTTGACCTGGTTTTGGTTTGCATCTATTAGTTTACGTATGTTTGGTTGAGTTTCCACAGACTGCTATTGGACTCAGGTCACTGTTAGTCCACTAGGAGGTTATGCAGGTTCAGAGGGACCAAATTCCTAAATCTCCCCTGGTTTTGATCTCCTACCCTCTTTTATTCCACTATAGGCTTATGTGTAGGGCTAAAAGTTAGAGTTGAGTCTTCTCTGTACTTAATCTCAGAGCCACATAGCTAAACTTCTGGAACTTGTTCCTTGCTTCTTCTATAGGGAGGGAACCTGCTCTTTCCTGATAATGACTGTTCCTCTCACCCTGGACAGTGACCCAGAATTGGGTAATGGGTGACAGAACTGGCAGATGGCTCCTGTTCTTGCTCTCGCTGCTAGTGCAAAGGTCTTCTAGGATCTCCTTCTACATAGGGTTTTCAGTCCCCTAATTATCCCTGGGTGCTGGCCTGCTTGCTCCCCACTTTTGCTGCTGCCGCTGTTGCCACGCCGCTGCTGCTGCTGCAACACTGTGCGCCTGAGAAGCCCCCATTCCAGTTTCTCTAAACCTTTCTATCTTCCTAAGCTGCCCTGGGCTGGTAAAATGACTCAAACTGTGACTTTGGGGGGGGGGGGGCCTTTGTAAGTTGTTGTGGAGGAGCTAAGCCAAAAATGCTGTCTGTCACTCCACCATCTTGAGAAAATTCATACATTGGCCATATCCAATTACATGTATCATTCTGATTTTTAGTGGATCACCTCTCTCTCAAGAGGTGAGTTTCTCTGAAATCACAATTGATCATTGCATTTATCAGAGTTTTTGGGTCTTTCAAAACTGTTCATTTTTACAACGTAGACAAAGGGTAAGTATTGTAGGAAAGATCTGACATAGGCTGGTCTCCTGTTAGTTTAAGTTTTGTATTAGAATGAAGTGAAACACTTGTAGAAGATCCAAATGTTAACAAAAGGAAATTTACTTAGGCCATAGCAGGGTGAGGATATTCAACAAAGATATTTAGCAAGTTCGTATAGTGGATTCAGCACACCGAGTTAATTAAATATCAAGGACAGATTCAATACCTTTAAAGGCATAGCCCACATGGAGGGAGGTTTGGTGTAGCAAGCTTTCTGATAGCACGGAAAACTATGTTTGGATTTTCTTTGTGGCATCTTATACCTTCTTCGTAGTAGAAAAGTAAATGTTGCTATAATTTTACATCAATTTTTGGACAGAAGTTAAAAAAAAAAGGAACCCATTCCCTTTTGCTCCAGTGTTTGGATTTGACCCTTTAATCAGTCTTTTCAAGTTTGTTCTTATCATTTTCTGTTGATGAAAAGATTGCTCTGTCATGGGGAAAGTTGTAAGATTACTACTGAGCCATGTAGGTTTTCATAGATGAATCATCTGCTGTAACACGTGTGATTTTTCATTTTTCATTTGATTGAGTTGGCAATTTATCCAATCAACTACAGTAACTTCTGCTTTAAAACTAGGGTAAACTACTTTTAAAAAGAACAAAACTAAAATAAATAAATATTAAAAATTAAAAAAGAAGACAAAGAAGAACAAAACTGAGAAAATCCCACATGGGACGCCTTATACTTGCTCTTCTTTGGGAATTGGTGTTGGTCACATGAGTCACCCAGGAAACCTCCTGGTAGTGCTTTCCTGATGTGTCATTATGTTAATCCGTATTAACAGAAGAAACTTAGGTCAGGATAGACTAGTTTCCAGTATGAAGGATTTGATTCAGAGTTTTTTGGGTTGTTTTTTTAAATACATACACACACACACACACACACACACAACTAGTATTCAGAATTTGTTTTTAGTTTCCAAATATTTCACATATTCTCTTCTTTACTTTTATCAATACCTTAGAGGTATCAAATTATCTAGTGTTTTATTCAATTTAGGTTTGGTATGATTTCCAATCGTTCTAATACTAAGGGATTTCTATAAATGAAGAATATAGGGAGCTCTAATTTACAGAAAATTTGTAAGCATATTACATTTTATTATATTTTGGTCCATGTAATGTACATCTTAAGGACATAGGGCTTCATTTTCTTGAAAATAAACTTTCTTTGATTCAGTCCACTCAATATGTGTAATACAGTATCTTTCTACCTAGATTTACTTGTGTGTATGTAAAATCTGTTTTCCAACTTGCTAGTGATTGATTTTGTAGATTAGAATTTCTCTGGAAAACTTATGTTTTTCTTTGTATTTACAGTACAGAGCATGCTTGGATAGGATGCAAGAACTGGAGGATTTGCTTGTTAAAGAAAGAGACAACTCTAGACGACTGCTGTCCGATAAAGAAAGAGAAATGGCAGAAGTAAGGAATCAAATGCAGCAGCAGTTAAATGAATATGAGGAACTTCTAGATGTAAAGCTGGCCCTAGATATGGAGATCCGTGCATACAGGAAACTGTTGGAGGTTGAGGAAGAAAGGTAGGAAATGAAGTGCCCCAGGAATATTGTCTTCCTTCCTCTTCCTACCCTTTTGTGATTTTTTTTTCTTAAAAAAAGAATTTATATTTTTCTTTCAGCATTTAAAGTTGGTCTTATTATTTTTTGCCATTCATTTTTCTTCTAAAACTTTCAAAGAAAAAGAATGATAGATCATAATTCTCTCTTATAAGTAGGAAATGTTGCAGAAAAACAGCACACTTTGCTGCTACATTATGTCTTCCAGGATGAGATTTCCTGTGAGACTCTTAGCTATGTGACAGGAATGAGGTTTAAGGCATTATGGAGACTATGATAAAAAAAAAAAAAATTCTACTAATATGTTCTGGTCATGGTTAGTGTCAACCCTTGCAGTAAGGGAATTATGATGCAGAATTATTTAAGGGAAACTTTAAAACATGAGACAAGATAGAAATATAACATTTGGCTTTTAGCAGTGTTGATTTTTTACAAAGCCAATTCTTATCAATGTATGCTTCTATATAAAAACTATAAGAAATTTTCAGTAATTATAATATACAGTCCCAAGTGGTAATTTAACATGTTAAATGCTAGCTTCATGTAATATACATAAAATAAAATGATTATTCTACTGATTTTGATAGTACAGGTGACAGGAAAATTCTCGATTTTTTTTATTTTCATTTTAAAAGTGGGGCTATAAATGTGAACTAACTTTTTTTTTGGAGCCAGAGGTACATCTAGGGTGGTCTTCATCTAGTATTATATAGCAGAAAGTTATCAGTACTTCACTTTAGAAAGCTAATAAGCTTCTATTATTCTTGGGAATGGATAATATACATAATGAAAGCATTTAGTGAATCTTTCACCCTTTTTATATAGGTTGAAGCTTTCTCCAACCCCCTCTTCTCGTGTAACAGTGTCAAGAGCATCCTCTAGCCAAAGTGTGCGTACAACTAAAGGAAAGAGGAAGAGAGTTGATGTGGAAGAATCAGAAGCAAGTAGTAGCATCAGCATTTCTCATTCAGCCTCAGCCACTGGAAATGTTTGCATTGAAAAGATAGATGTTGATGGAAAATTTATCTGCCTAAAGAACACTTCTGAACAGGTAAAATAAAATTGTGTACCTACCTTCTTCAGAAAGCCTGTTTGTTTGGGATAGTGTCTTTGACCTTGTATAACTTTCTTCTCTTCTTTGAATAAGCTTTTGAAATTAGTATCCCTTTCCTCTCACAGATTCTTTCTCCAGTACTGTTTAAGTAGCTTCTGTGTTTAAAGTGACTTATCCATTGAAGTTCAAATTAAATACAAATGTATGTATCTGCTGTTTTAAAAGTTTTGCTCTGGCAAATTTACCATATTAAGCTGTGTCTTTGTAAACACTTTATCAGTTTTATGTGTATTCTAAGAGAGGTCTTTATCCATGATAATGGGATTCGTGATGAGAAAAGCTGGTGAGTTTAATGAGTTAAAAATTCTTTCGGTAGTTTAATACCAGGAAAAAAAATTATGAGTACAGACTAGATCCTTGCAGAGATGTTCTTTTCCTTTAACAAATAAGGTTCTAAATGTAGACCAAAAGCAAAAACATTTCTTCCTGATAGAATTTGAGAAAACACTCTTTAAAAAAATCTAGTTTTTATACTAGGTTATCAACAGTTTTTCTGAATTTCCTATGACAGTTTTAAGATGGCTGAATACGACAGATAAATCTGTATTTAAGACGTTTGCTTCTTCATCACCTCAGCAGTATGCAAACCAGGACTATAATAGGGAGTCTAACATTGTGAGAAGAAATAGAATGGAAATTACCAAAAATATAACTATTATGGCCAGCATTCAGTGTGCTGCCCTCTTGCATATATTTTAGGGTCAAGGGCAGATACAAGCCTGGTTTATGTAGCAGTCATCTTTTGCCTGCCCACCATGGATTACTTAAAAATATTATATTGGTAGATGAGTAACCACCTAGGCAGAGTAGGTCGAGCTAAACCTGTAAAGAGAGTATGGAGATCCTTATTATAGTCCCAAAAGTCAGAGACAGTGTAGCCACAACTAACCAGTTCTATTGTAGTAATCTTAGGTAAGAGGAATGAGTTACAGGTTCAGATAAGAAAACATTTTTTCCTTCTTAAACTTATGTTCAAGTTTTAAAGGTCTTGAAACTGTCAGATATTTGATATTTGTAATTGTGATTATAACAGCCGAGATAATGGTCCTGTTATAAGTTTAAGGACCTACCTGATTTATACTGTAAACTTTGAGAGATCTCTGATTTTTGTGTTTTGTCATTGACTCGGCTCTTAACCCATGTGCATCTTACGTGATCTTAGAGAATTTTTATGTATGAAAAAATGCATCTACAAAATGCAACCCTAATTGAACTGGTCCTTTGATGACAAGAGCATAGTCTGTTACGAAACTCAAAGCTTTTCCATCTTAATAGGACTTAAGAGGTCTTATACACTGAGAAACCAGGGTCATTTTCACACTAGAACAATACTTATTTGATTTAATCATACCTGGTGTTTGGGGTTTTTAATCTTTTTTTTTTAATAAACTTTATTTTAAAATTAAAACTTTTAATTGTGAATTACATGCAGAAGTTCATCTTGCCAAATGAGAAGTCCTTTTTTTCAGAATGTGAACCTTGAAAACCACAAGCAAAGAAATAAAATAAAGAAGCTTTCTTTTACTAAGTTAACCAGATTGTTTGAGTAGATTTAGAAGTTTACTAAGTTATCACCTACCTTTGTGTATATTTGAAACAATCTTATTTCATTCATTCTGTGCCTAGGATCAACCAATGGGAGGCTGGGAGATGATCAGAAAAATAGGAGATACATCTGTCAGTTATAAATATACTTCAAGATTTGTATTGAAGGCAGGCCAAACTGTTACAGTAAGTGATTTTTTTTTCTTGCTGGAAATAAGCTTAACTTATTGTCTTAATTAGATCAAGGTGGGGGTGGAGGGGTTAGCTGTGATTTCATTATGGTACGGAGCTTTCAGTAATGAAGTTCCATCTACTGATTCAGATCACCAACTTCTGCTCTGCCATTTATAGTCTGAAATTTCTCTGGGGCACTTGCCCAGGACCACAGAGCAAGTGTGTACCAGATACAGGTCTTGAATCTAGGTCTTCCTGATTCCAAATACCTCCATCCACAATGTTAAATTGCCTAATGCTATTTAATATTTCTTATTATTAGAAATCCATTTTTTCTTTAAAAAAGGTAAGCATTATAAGGTCTTGGATGACATTTTTTCTTTTTTTTTCCAGTTACTTAGAGAAATTTCTAAAAATAAGTATTTCTGTACTCGCTAATAGTGATATTTAACTCACAGGATGAGTCACTAAATTTGGATTTTCCTTTTTGTTTTGTGAATAAAAAGAACTATTTGCTTTTACTACTACTGTAACTCAAATTTCGTTTGGGAAACCATGCCTTGTTGAAACAAATATTAAGATAATTAATTTTCTCAGTCTCTAAAACTCAAGGGCATGTCTTAAAAGTCAGATGTGATATTGCTTTGCCTGTTGGCTGTTTGTGCTTGGCATCAAAATTTTAACTGGATTTGGAATTAAACCCTGAAACATTTTTATCTTAATACGTTCTGGAATATGTCAGTCAGTCAACAAGCATTTTTAAAATTCAAGGCACTATTTTAAGCACTAGCAATAAAAAAGACGGGCAATGCTGAGTGAAGACTTGCATGAACTGATGCTGAGTGAAGTGAGCAGAACCAGGAGAACACTGTACACAGTAACAGCAACGTTGTGAAATGATCTACTATGAATAACTTGGTTCTTCTCAGCAATGCAAGGATCTAAGACAATTCCAAAAGACTCATAATGGAAAATGCTGTCCACATCCAGAGAAAGAACTGTGGAGTCTGAATGCGGATTGAAGCATAATATTTTCTCTCTTTTTTTTTTTCTTTCTTGTGGTTTTTCCCTTTTGTTCACATTTTTCTTTCACAACATGACTAATGTGGAAATGTATTTAGTATGATTGTACATATATAGCCTATATCAAATTGCATGCTGTCTTGGGGAAGGAGAGGGAGGGAGAGAAAATTTAGAACACAAAATCTTACAAAAGTGAATGTTGGAAAACTAAAAATAAATTAAAAAAAAAAAGATGGGCAAAAACATTGTCCCTGCCCTCAAGGATTTAATTTTATAATGAAGACAGTATGCAAATCAGCATACATATGCATATACATACATATCATCTATATATAAATACACATATGTATACACACATACACACACATTCACACACACGGAGAGTAAATGGAAGGTAATATCACAGTATACTATACCTCATAAATACTATCAATATACTTTTTAGAGAAATTTTTTGCATCAGATGGAAAAAAAAAAAGGTTTTCTCCTTGTTCCAGGAAAGGCCTCAGGCCAGTCCTCTGGTAGTTAGGTTTGGTACTGAACAAAATGAAACATTTGTAATTGGGAGAGGGGTATCTTGTTCTTTGGAGAACTGCCCATGGAGAGTGGAGAGTTTTTCACCACTGATTGACCTATTTATGTTCAGCTTTTATGTACCTAGTAACTAGTTTACTTATCTTCCTTTAGGCAAAGATCGCAAGGTTTTCCTGATCATGTTTAGCAAATTATCTAACCCTGGTATTGCACGGGTAGCCAGCTTTCCTAATCACATTGTCCTTGTGATTAATAAGGGGGAAGTTGAAGGGTGATAGTCTGGGCCACCTGCTAATTGACTGCCCTTAATGTCACCTCTCCCACTTGCTCCATATGAATCTGCCCAGCCACAACAGATATAAAGATGGAGACCTGGAGCTCTATGTTCTTTGTCAGGGTATGCATCCCACCCCACACCTGTGCTGCTGCTTGTGCATGTGCCAGGACTAAAGGGCTGGTAAGCTACCCTTCCTCACTTGTGATGTAGAGGACTCACATCTTTATCCTTTCGTGCCTGGGAAATAATGGTGGCAGCCCAGCAAAAGAACTTGGTTTGGAAACATCCAAGGGGAACACTTCCTGGGCATCAGAATACCCCTGTAACAGTGGACTTCCCTTCTTCCTCCCTTCCCCACAGTGACAACTCAGAGAAGGTACTTGAGGTTTTTGACTTATTGTAGCTATCTATATTTTATAAGATCATAGGATTTTAGCATTGGAAGAGACCTATGTCAGCCTCCTTATTTTCCATGTAAAAAAACTGAGAACAAGAGGTGAAATGTCTTGTGTATGTTCATACAGATAATATAATCCAGCTATGTAATAACTGCTTTTGTGGTGGTTTTGATCTTTGACTCTAAGTCGGATTATCATCCCATTAATATCATGAGAAAGGTATGGACTTTGTGTATAATGGTGTTCTTTCTTATTTCCCAGATTTGGGCTGCAAATGCTGGAGTCACTGCATCTCCTCCCACTGACCTTATCTGGAAGAACCAGAACTCTTGGGGTACTGGTGAAGATGTAAAGGTTATATTAAAAAATTCTCAGGGAGAGGTAAGATAATTTAGAACAAGAGTTCTTAATCTTTTTTTGTGTCATAGTCCACTTTACAGTCTCAAAATAACACGTTTAACAATTAACATTTATTAAGCCCTTACTATGTGCTAAGTATTTCTGTTAAGTGCTGAGGATAGAAATAAGAAAAATAAAGGCAGTCCTGACATCAAGGAGTACAGCACACAAAAGAAAGCTGAAAAGTGGGGGAAGGGGCATGAGGGTAAAGAGGAGCATGGTGGAGTTCAGTCCAGTAAGTGTAACTAATAGGAAATGAAGAGCCAGCTGGTCTGTGAACCCTCTTTTAATGGAGGCTTTGGGAGTTCTTTCTTTGCTTCCTGGTCTTCCAAAGGGGCAGAAGGTACTGAGGGTACTCAAGAGTTGGGAATACCAAAGCTATTGAATTCTTGCAGACTAATGAGTTTACCAGAAGTATGATGATAGTGGAGTCCCAAGTCCCAACAAAAATAAAGGATTACGAAGGAAACCAATTATATTGAAATACAGTTACCAGGATATTTTTTCTTTTTTTTTTTGTTTTTTTTTGTTTTGTTTTGTTTTGTTTTGTTTTTTGGTTGGGCAATGGGGGTTAAGTGACTTGCCCAGGGTCACACAGCTAGTAAGTGTTATATGTCTGAGGCCAGATCTGAACTCAGGTCCTTCTGAATCCAGGGCTGGTACTCTATCCACTATGCCACCTAGCTGCCCCCCAGGATATTTTTTCAAAAACAAATTCCTAGACCCCAGGTTAAGAATCCCTGCTTTAGAGGCAGTGTTGTATAATGAATAGGGCATTGGGTTTAGAATCAAAAAGATCTGGGTTCAAATCCCTCCTCAGACATTTATGAGTTGTGAAACCTTAGCAAGTCATTTAATTTCTCTGTGCTTCGGTTTGCGTATTGTATAAAATAAAGGCCTCTAAGGTCCCTTCAAGCTTTAAAATCTATAATGCTGTGATTTTTAATTTCATTAATACAACTGCAGTAGGATTCTCCCTTGAAAAGTTGTTGGTTCAGACATGCAAATAAATGAGCAGATAATATTATTAATTACAATTAAGCTAACAATTCAGAACCACAGCAGCTTATTCATGATAGTTGGTGTTTATATAACACTTTATGGCTTGCAAAGTATTTAATCTCATTTAGTTCATACAGTTAACCTCTGTGAGGTCAGTATAGCAGATATTCTTTCCATTATGTAGATTAGTAAACTGGGGCAGAGAAAATACCCAAGGTTATATATAGCCAGCCAGTAACACAACTGGGATTCAGACTTAAGTTCCATGACTCTGAATTTAGTCTTCTACACTAGAGTTGTGCAGGCGCACATGCCTCACTATGGCCCAAATTATTAAAACGTGTAATTGTGAAATATTTAACAGATTTTTTAAAAATTACAATAGGATGTGGTAAAATTTACATGGTTTTCTAAGTCAGTATGCAGCCACAGCAATCCTTATGTAAGGTTTGGTGGTCTCCGTTTCTCTTTGGGTTTGACACCATTGTTCTATGGCATCCAAAGCTTAAATTATAAAATTGTGATCACATTTTAGGAATCAGAGTAAATATATGAATGGATCCTGAATATATATAAATGAGTCTATATATAAAGCACATATAAATGAGTCTATTTTTGTTAATGTCTTAAAAAAGACTTACTGTAAGCTCATCTGAATTTGATTGCTTCATAATAAACATACTAAATAGGAAAGGAAAGTGAAGTAGCATCAGAATCATATTGATATTTCTCCCTCCATTCTTTTCCTCCTACCCTTGACGAACAATATTTTTAAGGCATCAGCCTTGAAATGAAACAATTACCAATGTGATGAGCCTAATTTTTAAAATTTGTGGCTCTGTGCCATATCTCTATTTTCCTTCAAGCTAAGTCTTATGTCATATATAGTAATCTGGATCCAATCAGTAAACATTTATCAAGTGCCTGCTGTATGGTGGACACAGTGCTAAGTGCTGGAGATACAAAAAGAGGTAGGAAATAGTCTTTGCCCTCAAGGAGCTTACAATCTACAAGGGGGGAGACAACATGCAAACAAATATATACCAGCAAACTATATACAGGATAAATAGGAGATAATTAACAGGGGGATGTGCTGGAATTTAAGAGGGTCAGGGAAGGCTTCCTCTACAAGATGGGATTTTTAGTTGGGACTTACAGGAAACCAGGGAGGTCAACAATCAGAGCAGAAGAGGGACAGCCAGAGAAAATGCCTGAAGCAGAAAGATTGAGTGTCTTGTTGGTGGCACAGTGAGAAGGCCAGAGTCAAAACAATGATTCCTTTTCAGAAACTGGGGGTTTCTTAAAAAGGCAAGTTAGGAATTGTACTGAATTTCACTACAGAATGCTGAGTGGTGGTGGTGGTATTTTATCCCTTAGGAGGAAGAAGTCAGGACCTTGATCTGATTCTTTTGTGTTTGTCGGTTTTATACACAGGCATTAGGTTAGTGTTCTTTGGTGCTTCTCACTTGACTACATGCAAGTAGGGTAAGACCAAATGTAAGCATTTAAGTGTCAAGCTGGGAAACCTAGTATATATATTAATTTTTTAAAAAAATAAATAAAATAGTAAATGTAAATTAAAAAACCATTATATCTGAGGCTGTTCTTTGTATAACAAATCTGAAGCACTAGATAACTGGATACTGAGGCAATATTCAGTAAAACAAAATGCCAGTATAGTAAGTCATTTCATTCTTTAGAGTTCATAGCATCATAGATTTAGAGATGAAATTGTAGCTCCCTCATTTTACCCATGAGGATACTGAAACTTGGAGAGGTTTAGATGATTTGTTCAAGGTATCACAGGTAGTAAATTGTAGAACTGCAATTTAAACCTGGTCCCTCTGACTCCAAATATCTTATTCTGGCCTTCCTACCATGGATATTGAGAAAACCACATATTAACATTTTCTATGTTTTATTGTATTTATATGTTGTTAAATATTTCCCATTTACATTTTAATCTGGTTCCTACTGGGTCTTTGATACTTCTGCTTAGTTCTTTTTAACTGGACTCAAATTAAAATGAGAAATTATTCCACAGAAAGTCCTGATCATCTTCATTCCAAGCAACTACCTGTGATTTGGGCCAGACATATTTATAATAGTCAATAATCTATCAACAGCACTGATGAAACATCTGTGTTCAGTCAGTGTGCATAAACTATGAATATATAATAAAATATGTATATACAATGTATATGCATATATGTATATGCATGTATACATAAATATGTGTACATATATATTTATGTACAGTCCTAATCTTCTGAATTCCAGGTCTGCAGACCAGTTGTCTGTTGGGCATATCCGTCTGCCTTAATGTATCAGAGACATCTCAAAATCAGCATATTAGAAACAGAATTCATTATTTCCCCTTTCAACCCCCTAAATCCATCCCTTTTCCAAACTTGCCTATTTATGTTGATAGCACTATGATCCTTCTAGTCACCTAGGCTAGCTCATCTTTGACTCTTCTTTTTCCATCAGCTCTCATACCCAATCACTTGCCATTGTTTCTACCTTTACAATATCTTTTGCATCCATCTCCTTTTCTCTTCTCATTCAGCTTCTACCATAGTTCAGAGACTCTTGACTGGAATATTGTAGTAGCCTTATAATTTATCTCATTTTCCATCTCTTCCATTCTTCAATCTCTCTCTAAAAGTTGCCAAATTAACATTGTTAAAATACAGATTTTAACTATGTCACTGTACTACTCAAAAATTTCATTTTGTTTAGAATAAAATTTAAATTTAAGATGTAAAAATCCTCAGCTTAGTATTTAAAGCCCTTTACAAATCTACCTAGAAAATTTTTAGCTTAAACGTGATGTGCGCTTCTCCTGTCTTCTCCCCAGTAAATGAAATCGTGAAATAATTCATAATTAACAATTTAGGACCAAGGACATTTTTAATAATAGCTACTATTTATCTTATTTATCAAAATTACCATGGTGTTTTTCCCCCAAAATTTTAAGTAACAAATAAAATGGGGATTCCATATACATAGCAGAACAGCAGAAAAAGATTATACATGAAACTGCAAGTTTCCAATTTGTATAGCTTGCTTTTTTTATATATTTAAATGTTACTGCTATGCCTCCTTTTTTCCTACTTCCTATTTTCTATTATTTTCCTTGAGATTCTTGGCCTTTTTTCTATTCAGGTTAATTTCATTATTATTTTGTTTGGGTCTATAAAATAATCCTTGGAATGATTGGTATAGTATTGAATAAGCAAATTAATTTAGATATTATTTGTCATTGTTACTGCATTGGCATGAGTAGTTAATATTTCTTCAGTTACTTAGGTCTGTATTTTTGTAAGTTGCATTTTGTAGTTGCATTCATATAGTTGCTGTATGTGTCTTGGTATCCATCTAAGTAATTTATACATTCTGTAGTTATTTTGATTGGAATTTTTTTTTATCTCTTCCTGCTGTTTTTTGGAGGTTTTAATACTGATTTATGTGTGTTTATTTTATATCCTTCAACTTTACTAAGAGTATTGTTTCACTTAATTTTGCTTGCCTTTCTGAAAGATAGAATAATAAAGATAACCTTCATTATAAATATAGAACAGTGTATGAAACTGAGAAATGTATACTTACCAAAGTCTATTGGCAGGGAGGTAATCCAACCTACTGTCAACACTGAAGAGGGCTTTTCTGTTAATAGTGAACTCTTTGAGATATTCCTGGTTGTGGATGGCATTGTAAGTTATTACATCAAGCTCCAGAATTCTCCAGGAGAGATCTGTAATTACTCGAAGAAGTTTATTCTAACCATCACACAGACCAAGAGGATGAAGAATGTTTACTGCCCAAATTACAACATTCATTTCTATAATTACTCCAAGAACTTGTTCTTTAGTGTCTGTGATGGGCAGTGCGGATGGATAAATTGCACCCAGAGTTAAACAGGAAGAGGAGAATGGGCTGCATTGACTTTTCAAAATTGCAAAATTCCTTGAATGATCCCAAGCTTTATTTTCAAAAGTCCATCTTTTTAATTCTAGTAATTCTATCAATGTTGCTTCTATATGGTAGCATGACATAGGATACAAAAATTTTTGAAAATTTAAAACTGAATATTACTCAGAGTTTAATGGAAAGGTACATAGTGTGAGCAGGCTGCAACATTCAACCAGTAAACAACCTCAAAGAAGAGAAGTAAAAGTCATCAGGATTCCTTTCAGTAGGGAAGGAATGACATGATGTGAGATGATGCACAATGTTAGATAATATACTATGAGACCCTTTGATATAAACTTGTTTGCCTTCTGTTGCGCTGTAGGCACAACCTTGTTTTTATAAACAAAATATCTTTTTGTACCAAGTCAGCATCTGCCTATGGCGATTAAAAATACTTACAGCTAATAAATTTCTTAATGTCAAATAACAAGTCTCTTTTGTGTTAAGATTCAAATTTACCACAATTATCCTGATAGGAGAGCACCCTCAGACCATTGTTCTTATTTCCTTCAAGACAGATTTTGATTTAAATTATATCCAGATTTATAATTGCAAATGATAACATTTTAATTTCTAAGGCCCAGTACTCTTAGTACTTCAAAAGAAAAAAGATTATTATCTGTAAATTCATGTATTTCCTGAAACGTGTGGTGACAGTTCCTAATTCCTTCATAAAATCTTTTCCTCTGCTTCCTTAAAGAGCTGGATGAATTACCAATCCCCTGCCTCTTTTACCTTTCTTTGAGACTTATTAGATAAAGAGCTGCCCCATTCTAGCTCCTAGGAGTTTCAAGCTACATATACTAGGAAATAGATATAGAGTTTTACAAACAGTTTAAAATCACACCTGGTATCAGGTTAGCCCAAAGTGTGCTAGGCTAAAATATTATTAGATTCTAAGTTGAATGGCTGCTTTTGGCCCAGGTAAAGAAGAGACCTAAAGAATTTATTGTAGGCAGCTAGGTGGCGCAGTGTCAGGAGGACCTGACTTCAAATCTGACCTCAGACCAAACACTTGACACTTATTAGCTGTGTGACCCTGGGCAAGTCATTCAACCCCAATTGCCTTAAAAAAAAAAAATCTATTGTTATACTGGCAGGGTGTGGCCAGTTTCCCCAGAGCTTTCACTGAGTGAGTTGAATTAAATAAGTGAATTATTGAACAGCATAAGGAAACATTAAGATTTTTGTGTAATAACCACAGATCACAATAACCAATATTACCATATAACCCCAAAGAATTAAAGAACAGTTAACAATATTTCTAATAACAATTATAAAAGTTAGGTACTTTTCCCAACACATTATAAATCACATAACTGGGATAATAATGGACTTTTATTAAGGGGATTTGTTCTGTGAAGTTTGGATTCAGTCAAAAGGCTACACTTGAGGACCTAGAGGGACCCATGTAGCCTAGAGGCAGCAGTTTCCCACTCCAGGTCTAGATCTTTATCAGTTAAAGCTGCCGCTAGAGCTCCATCCAAAGGAAAAAAAAAACAACTTGGTGTTTTAACAGAGAGAGATCCCTTCTCTGATTCCCCTTCCCAAAGTGTAAACTCCTGGGTCTCACCCGCTTTTTCAGTTCTCCTTTCCGAGCAAATACAGACCATATCCCATATCCTAGAGACAAAGACAAAACAGACAAAAACATACAGCAATCGAAGTTGAGAATAAAAACTGCTTGCTCCAGAGAGCTTTCTACCCTGCTTTTCTACTTTCCTGTTTGCCTCCTGCTTCTGCTCAGAGCAGATTCCCCCCCCCCCCCAAATCACATCCTACATTTAACATACATAATTCCCCTGACACACTTCTGCCTGAAAACTCCAAGAGGCCTTCTTCTTGGGCAGAATTTTAACCTAGTTTGCTCTCCAAGATTCATAGTTTTTATACTTGGTATTCTCACAATTTGCCTGTTTCATCTTATTGAAACCTTTACTTGCAAGAAATTTCAGGCCACACCTGTTTATTAGTTCTTTAAAATTAATGAGGATTGGAATGGCCAGGCTTCTGATCCCAAAGTGGATCCCAGAATTTCCCAGGTGGCTCCCCACATCTCTGTCAGCACCCCAAACACTCGATATAAAATAGGACTTCTTTTCAAAACCCTCTTCAGCAGAGGCTTTCATTTGCACACACTCTGTCCTCATAAACCTGGAGTCCAGAGAACTCCATGCAGGTAAGAGTGAAAATTAGAGAGCTGCAGCATAAAAACAAGTAGACACAAAACATATAAAGTTACCCAGATAAAATTTAATTACTGGTAAAAGGGAGAGTCAGATCACAGCCAGAGTCCTAACAAAGAACTCTTCTCGTGAAGAACTTTCCATGTGGACCCCAGGCATATAGGGGAGTTTTTGTTAAGAATCTAGAGTTCCAAGACTTTGGTCCCTTCATGGACAGCCATGACTGGCAATTTGAAAGGGTTCAAGAGACGTAATTTCTGGGTAATGTAATAATTTTATTAACAAGGACAGCACGTTTATTAATAAAAGGCTGGTCATTTAGCTATCTCTCTTAAACCAAAGACAGTCATGGTGGCAGGCTCAAACTTTATATGCCTTTAGAAGAGTGTTAACCAGGGTTGGAAATCAACCCTGATTGGTTAACAATTAATGAGAGAAAGAATATTGCAGTGAGGGTCTGAGAGTGACATATCATCCTTGGACGAGAGACTATCTCTATACCCAGCCTTAGGCAGTCTCTTCAAACAGTTTATGCCCCACCCAAGCCTGAGCAGAACACAATGGCTGTTCCACTTGAGTGGATTAACAAGAAAGTTAATCCAATCTCATTAACACCTATGTCTTTCAAGAGACTGAAGTTTTTAAGACCAGGACTTTAGTTACTAATAATTATTTCTCTCACACCCAAGGGAAACAACCTAAAGTAAATCATGTTGTTAGAAAATTGAAATCAATTCTTAGCTTACCAGTACATCATTATTATGCATCTTCTCACATCACAGTCTTTCCCTACTGAAAGGAACCTTAAAGACCAATCTATATCTCATTAAGAATTCTATCTATTACTATCCAATAAATGGTTATCTAGTCTTATGAGATCATGGCATCACTCTCCTAGAAGGTCCTGGAACAGAAGATGAATGACCACTTGTCAGGTGTCTTGGATCGACTCATTAATTTAAAAGCCATACTTAGTTCCATTTAGGAGAGATAATGATGGATTTAAATTTGTTGTTCAGTTGTGTCCAACTCTGCATAACTCCATGGAGTTTTTGTCCATGGAGCTTTCCTGGCAGAGATAATTGGAGTGGTTTGCCATTTCCTTCTCCAGTGTATCCCTGTTTTACAGATGAGGAACTGAGACAAATAAGGGTTAAATGACTTGTAGTAAGTGTCTGAATCCAGATTTGAACCCAGATCTTCCTGACTCCACTCCAGTGCCCCTCCTTGCCATTGTACCACCTAGCTGCCCTGGATTTAAGTTTAGGTAGAACCATTATGGGCTTAAGTTGTCTGACTGAAAATTTATATGTATCTATTGTTCTTCACATGCTGTTGGTAGCATATTTTAAATAGGGAATAGTTTGCCATGTAGATATCAAATACTCTTGAGTTTTCATTATAACTAGGTCTTATTTCTTTCTTATCAGTGGAATTCAGATAAAAATTCCTAATTCTCCAGGGCTTATAATTCTAGAGATTTCTAAGAATAGGTCATCTTTCTTCCTAAGAGAGTCTTGTTTTCTCTCATGATTTGAACCAAAATCTTAAATCTCACTCCCAACTAATGAGCCTATTTATTCTAATGTATTCTTTGGTATTTTATTTTATAATCTGTACAGCCTATCCAGTTTCTCTTCACTGTTTTGCTTGGATAAAGGGTTATTCGCTTTTTAAAAAAATCCTAATGCAAGTTGCTATAGCTATGCTTTTATGTTTAATGTTCAGCAAATTATCATGCAGGTGGGTAATATAATTGCTTTTTGTAATTGAATAAAAGTGTTGGATTGCTGCTTAGCTTCTTAAAGACTCACTGAAAGGATCTTAAAACTGCTTCAATAAGTAGACAAGAAGATAAATATAATATGGATTTTCCTATTCTCATGTGGTTTTAATTTCTCCCACTGAGTTCTTTATATTTTAAGATAATAGTAATTGTCATTATTTTACTAGCCAAAAATCTAATTTCTTTGGTCCTGGATTTATCAGTCACTTTTGCTGTTTCTGTCAATATGCTCTCTCTCCCCCTCAAAAGAAGTTGCCAGGTATGACCAGCCTGCGTGAATGAGATGTTATGCCATGAATGGGATGTTGTTATCTTGTAATAATAAACCTACTTTTATTTTCAGGAGGTTGCTCAAAGAAGTACAGTCTTCAAAACAACTTTACCTGAAGAGGAGGAGGAGGAGGAGGAGGAGGAGGGAAAGAAAGAAGTTACTGAAGCAGTTGAGGAAGAGAATGTTTCTCACCAGCAGGTATTACTGCATTCATTTGCTTGAAATTTTGTTAATAAAATATATTAATTGTATTAAACATATTTAAAAATAAGTCAGAAGTGTGTTTAGCTAATTAGAAGCTGCTCAATTCTTTGTAGCCTTTTGAAAATAAATTGGGAAGAATAAACTATATTCAAGTATCAAGAGGAAAAATTATTAGCTTCTTATTAATCAAGAGAGATTTTTAGCTACTTTAAAAATAAAGAAACTCAATATTATCATTCTGATACATTAAACTGGAACATTGCTTTAGAACAATCACCTACATGAGAAGCCAAGGGTCTGAACCTAGCATAGAAGAAATGAATGAAACACAAGATAAGAATCAACAGAACTTGTTGATGTGGAAAAGACGATGGAATGCACCAGAGAGAGGGAATATCAAAGATGACTTTCAGGTTTCTAGCCTGGGGGACTGGAAAAATTGTGATTCCAATGGCATAAATGAGAAAGTCAATAGAAGGGAAGCCAATTTGGTGGGGAGACAATTTTTTTTTGAAATGATGACAGAACATGGCTGGAGAATATACAGAGGGAAAGAGGAAAAGGCCAAGTGTTGAGTGTTGAGGTACTCAAAGAGATAGGAAAAAGAAGTATTATTGAAGGAAGTAGAAGAATAGTTAACAGAACTGGGAGAGCCAGAATAGCACAGTGTCCCAGAGTTCTAGGAAGAAAAAGGTGATCAGCAGTGTCAATTTGAATAATCAAGGCGAATAACAGCTGGGGAAAAACATCTCTAGTGAGGGCAGTTTAAGGAGAATGGAAGGATAAGACAAAAGCCAGATTTCAAGGGTTAAGAAAAGAACAAGACATGGAGGTAGTGGCAGATATACATCACGAGTTGGGAGAAGTGTAGCAATGAAATTAATAAAAGATAGAATAGCTAGAGGGAGCCGTGGGGTGTCCAGTACAATTTTGAGGCATCAAGGGATGACCTAGGCATGTTTGAAAATAATGGAGAAAGAGTTGAGGGAAGAAAATTGGATGTGTTACCAAGACTGGAAGTAAGATAATTGAGAGAGCAAGGTATCAGAGACTCATTCTACAAGTATTAAGCACCTACTATGTGCCAGGAACTGTGTTAATGTTGAGGATGCAAATACAATGAATGAAACAATCTCTGCTCAAAAAGCAAAAGGGAATTCACTGAAACTCATAGTTTGAAGAGTTAATCTTAGAAAAGAGAAAGGAGTAGCTTTTCTTCAGAGAAAGGAAGGAAGAATTAAAAGTTTTAACGTAATAGAGATAAGAGGGCTGAGGAAGCTTAAGCCAGGTGGCCTTGATTTTCTCTACAAAGTAGGCTAACAGGTTATTGGGCTGCAGGGAGGGGGCAATAGGAGCTTATGGATGCAATATTTCAATAGCTATTGTGGGGAGTGTTTTAGGGAACTTAAATGAGATAAATAGAAGGATTACTTAGTAACAGCACCAGCTCATTGAAAAGTTTGTAACATTAATTTATAATGGGGCCAGTCTTGCTTTGTTTTAGGACTTTTCTCCTCTAGTAATGTTCCAAAATCTCATAAGAGAAATGTAAAAGGAGAATAGTAGTGGGAGAAGAGCATCAAAAACCCAAAATTGGAAACTACCAATAAAAAAAGAAGAGAGTAGCTTGTCAGTGAGGGCAAGATTAAAATGACTTGTGCATTCCAGGCCTGGTAAGTAGTAAGGTGTACCTAGGACAGTGGACTAGGTAAAGTAGGTAGTAACAGTAAGGACTTCACTAGGTTTAAGGTAATGGCAGCGTGAGAGCTAATAGGTAAGAAGGTTGTGGGTGGAGATGAGAATATCAGTGTTGAGATCTTGGTTGATGAATCAGTGCCATACCCATGATGAGATTCAGGATATGACTCTTATTAGTGAATGGTTAGTGTAGAATGGGGGTTGAAGAGGTTGAGGGTGAGAAACTATGTTAAGTCAAAGTGCCATATGGGTCATTGACGTAGAGTAATAGTTGGAAATGGAGTGAAGAGGAAAAATGTGAGTCAGGTGCTGATAGCAAGAAAAGGCCAGTCCTGGAATATGTTAAATTGATAATACAGTCCTCAGTCAAGGAGGAAGGTTTACACAATGACCAAATTAAAAATTGGTCATTATGTTTTCCTTTTTAATTTGGTCATTGTGTAAACTTTCCTCCTTGTTCTACTCATTTCACTATGCATCACTTTATTAAAATCCTCTCAGATTTCTCTGTCACTAATTCTATTCATTCATATTCCCTATTTTCAAACATTCTATAATTGATAGGCACCCACTTTGTCGCCAGTGCTTCGCCACAATAAAGTACTGATACATATGTATACACACACGTGTGTGTGTGTGTATTTATATATATATACATATATATATAAAAATATATACACACATATATACACACACATATTAGTCACAGGACATGATTAATGTGTTGGCATTAGTAAAACCATTGCTATATATGTGTTAAGTTTTTATTTTGGTGTTCAATTTTTAAAATTTGTTCATGTTATTGGAAGGTCCCTTATAACCTTTGGTTCTTAGTTTCCAGTTTATAAACTGGGACAGGGCTGAACTTGATTACTAAGGCCCACTCCAGCTTCTAAGATTCTGTGATTCTCTTTCTTTACAATAACTTTTTTTTCTTCTTTGCTAACCAGGGAGACCCAGGAACATCCAAGAGAAGCTGTGCAATTATGTAAACTGTTGAAATATCTTTCTCAAAATAAAAAACTGCAGTAATACTTATGTACATACACTCAAAACCTTCTCAGAAGCACAAAGTATTTTTATATTTCCTTTATGTGAATTTATAAACTGGAAGCCTAATGGCCTTAATTTCCTTTTTGACACTGAAAAACATGTTTTATAAAAGAAATCCTATCCATAACTTTTCTGTAAGATGTGAATTATTGATGATGTGAATTTTTTTTAAATCCCTCAAATTTTTCTGCCATTTTTGTGTTACTGGAATTTTCTTGGTCTTTATTTTTGAAAGCTTTTGTGAGAAGAAGAAATAAACCACTATGTGTCTGGGAGTTATTTGGAGATTTCTCCATATAGACTGTCATTGGGCTATTATTGATAATTCTCTATTCTGTATAATGGTGCTGTGAGGGAGAGGGAAAGCATTTTCAATATTTTGGACATTTTTGTACTGGATTTTTTTTTTGTAATAAAAAGGTTACAGATTTTTTTGATAGAAAAAACAAAACTTTGTAAGAAAGTAATATTGCCTAATCATCATGTGAACACTCTCAATAAAAGCTACAACAAAACTTGTTTTACTTGGTACTTTTTATGTTCTTAGATTCTTAAGCAACAAGGTTGGGGATGGGGTGGGAGAAAGGGAGGGAAAGAAGGATTTCCATATTAAAATATGTTAGTTATGTTCTTTAAAATAATGTGACTTGTTTAAATTTTCCTGTGTGATATTAACAAATAAAAATATTGCAAACCACAGTAATATTGGGACTTCAGTAAATTATCTTTAATCTACTTAGAGATAGAATATTTGTGGAAGAAAATATTGTATTTTATGTTTGTGGCACTCACCTGTTAAAGATGAATTTATTAATTAAATTATTCTAATTTGATTTAAGTATCTTTGTTAGAAAATCCAAAGGGACAGAAATATATTCTGCTTTTGGAAATTTCTCTCTCACACCATTTTCACTCACCTTCTGTAGTTTTTCCAAATGAAAACAAAATTCCCCAATATGATAAAAGAGTAACAAAATTCACGTAAGTTTGGTTCTTCAGCAACAGAATATTTGTTAAAATACCTTGGGGAATTATTTTCCTAAAACCATTAAATCCCATTTTAACCACTTGCTCCCGTAATGTTCTCCTTTTTTTCTTGAACAGATTGAACTCAAAAGATAATTCAAATTAATTGAAGACCTCTTCCTTTCCTTAGTCTAATCATTATCTTAATCACTTAAGAGAGGAATCCTTCCAGATGGTCCAACTCTCCTTTTAGGAACTGATGATAGTGTTTAAAAATTTTTTTGTTTTGGCATTGATAATGAAAGAAAGACTGATAATTTTCTCATTCAGGGGTGACCAATGACCCTGGTAAACCAATTCAGCAGATGGGCTAAACCAGGTTGAGGGTAACTAAGGGGTCTCAAACCTGTTGGTGAGTTAGGAGGGTGCCTACCCCAAGCATGTGAAGACTTCTCCTGGTGGAATGGGCAAATGAGAACAATTTGTTCCAACAGCTATGAAGACAGCTGAAGCAGGTGCTGTGGAGAGCTTAGAACTTGGTTGGACATTGAAGATGCCAAGATCATTCACTGCATCTTGAGCCATCACCAGTTGTCTGATTTTGTCCTGCCACTGGACTGTGATGCCTCTGGAGGGGAGAGAGTGAGGCCAATGATTTTGTGTAATTCTGCCTCACTTAAATCCAATTTATGCATGAATCAAAGGACATTACCCATGCCATTTTTTTTTTTTACTGTCCTAATATTTTGTGATCTGTAGGCTAATGAGGGAAGGAGAGATAGGGTGAGGTGGGAAGAGGTATCAGTATGCTTCTACATGTTTTAGGGGAAAAACTTTTAACTGATGCAGAGTGGAATGAGGAGACCCAGGAGAACAATGTGTAGTATAACAACATTGTAAAAATGAACAATTCTGAAAGACTTAAGAACTCTGATCACCATAATGATCAGCTATGATTGCAGAGGACAAATAATTTAGAATGTTGCCCACATTAGATACGCTAAGTGAGATGAGCATTTTTGGACAGGGCCAATGTGAGGATGTTTTGCTTTGCTACACATATTTGTTGTAGGAGGTTGGGAGTAGAAGTGAGAACATGTGACTTAACTGAAAAAATAAAATTTTAAAATACTAAAGTAAATCCATTAATTCTTGTTATTTTAGCCATTAGTTTCAGTTTTGCCACCATTATCACCTGACCACTGTCCCTTAAACTGAGATAACTGTGGTGCAGTGGAAAATCAGGTATGTCACCATGGACAAGTCACGTCAGCTTGCTTTGTTATCCATAACCGAAAGTGTTGTTATCAAATGAGACCATATGTAACCGATTTTACAAATCTTAAGAGCACCACATATGGCCCAAACTATGTGACTTTCACTGATTCCATTCAGTTTTTCTAATGTAAATTTCTAATTTGCTTGTCTACTTAGCAATAGTCTAAATGATACCCTGAAGTGAGACTGGGTTCTATAATGCTATCTGCCATTTGAATGAAATAATTGCCTCACTTCTCATTATTCTCATTATTCACCTAGTCACAGTCTCTGCTCTTCAGCAGCACTTTCTGTTTCTTACAGTTCCCACACACAACTTTCTAGGTGTTCATGGACTGCTTCGGGTAAGGGATGGTTTATTGACTAATACAAAGCATGCTCCACATAACACATTGCAGTAGCATCATTAATACATTGTAAGTTCACTTCTGTAAGTAACTTCTGTTACTCATGGTAACATTGTTTGAGCTATGAACAGACATAAATTATATAGTCTAATCATAGAACCACCTGTTTTCTGTAATATTTTCCTTTAATAATACCTTAGCATTTAGGAAACCTTAGAGGACATCTAATCCAATCAACAAAATCTCTTCTAGAATGAACCCATCATCTAACCTTAGTGTGAAGACCTCTAGTGAGAAGTGAACACTTCCTTCCAAGGCAACTCACTTGATGTTTGGATAGATTTAATTGTTGGGAAATTTTTTCCTCATCTCAGATCTGAATTTACTTCTTTGCAGCGAGAACAAGTTGAATTTCTCTTGTATGTGATAGTCCTTCAAATATTTGAAGGTAACTCCTGTCTCTCCTATCTTATCTTCTCCAGGCTAACCATCCCCAGTTATTTCAACAAAATTCTTACATAGCATAGACTAGAGGCCCTTCACTGTCGTGGTTGCCCTCTGAAACAAAATGACCTTCCTAAAATGTAGCACCCAAAAATAAACATAATATTCAACTCCATTTTCAATAAGTTGTTCTTGGTTTCAATTCCACAGGAACACTATATTCCCCGGAATAAGCTGATCACCTGAAATCTCATCACCTCATCAGTTTTTGATAGCCAACATCTTCTCCATCTTCTCAACTCCTCTTCTGTTGCCTCTCCTCTCTGGTTGGAGGGCTGGAGGGTGGAACATTTAACAATTGCCAAAGCCTTCCTTTAGAAAGGGCTCACAACCTTCCTGGTAATTCCATATTCTTTCAGCAGCTCTACCTTGTTACAACTTCATGCTGGACAGTCCCTGTTGCTCCCTTTCTACCCCAGTTTTCGGCTTCCTTTTAGTGCATTGTCTTCATTAGGTTATAAGCTCCTGGAGAGGAAGAACAGAAAAATGGCAGAAAAATTTGAGGGATTTAAAAAAGTTTTTTTTAATTTGTATCCCTAGCACTTAGCACAGTGCCTGGGACATAGTAGATACTTAATATATGTTTAATTGAATAATATAGATAAAATCAAACCAGTACAGAGTACAGATAGGCTCACTTTTACTGGACACTATCCTTCCTGCTGTAGCCCAAGATCATATTAATTCTCTTGGCTGCAATATCACACTATTGGCTCATATTGAGATGGTAATCCTCTAAAACCTTGAAATCTTTTTTTTAAATATTTATTTTTTATTTTTTTCTCTCTCCCCCTTCTCTTATCCCCTTCCCCTTCTATTTTCCTGTAAGGCAGGATAAATTTCTGTACCCCATTTCCTGTATTTCTTATTTCCCAGGTGCATATGAAAACATTTTTTTAAACATGTGTTTTTAAAACTTTGGGTTCCAAATTTTCTCCCTTCCTCCCTCCCCACCCACCCTCATTGAAAAGGCAAGCAACTCAATATAGGTGATACATGTGCAGTTATGCAAAACACTTCCATAGTAGACATGCTGTGAAAAACTAACTCTATTTCCCTTAATCCTATCCTGCCCTCCCCTATTTATTCTATTTTTTCTTTTGACCCTGTCCCTCCTCAGAAGTATTTGCTTTTGATTATCCCCTCCCCCAATCTGCCCTCCCCTCTATCAACCCCCTGCTCTCTTGTCCCCTTCCCCCCTTATTTTCCTGGAGGGTAAGATAGATTTCCATACCCCGTTGTGTGTGTTATTCCCTCCTTAAGTCAAATCCTATGAGAATAAGATTCACTCATTCCCTTTCACCTTCCCCCGCTTCTCCTCTACTGTAAGAGCCTTTTCTGGTTTTTTTTTGTGAGATAATTTACCCTGTTCTTCCTCTCCTTTTCTCCTTCTCCTAGTATAATCCTCTCTCACCCCTTAATTTTATTCTCCAGATATGACCCCTTCATCTTCAACTCATCTTGTGCCCTCTATCTATCTATCTATCTATCTATCTATCTATCTATCTATCTATCTATCTATATACATACATATAATTTTTTCCCTCCAACTACCCTAATACTGACAAAGGTCTCATGAGTTACAAATATTATCTCTCCATGCAGGAATGTAAACAGTTCAACCTTAATAAGTCTCTTATGATTTCTCTTTCCTGTTTATTTACCTCTTCATGTTCCACTTGAGTCTTGTATTTGAAAGTCAAATTTTCTATTCAGTTCTGGTTTTTTCATCAAGAATGCTTGAAAGTCCTCTATTTCACTGAATGACCATTTTTTCCCCTGAAGGATTATACTCAGTTTTGCTGGGTAGGTGATTCTTGATTGTAATCCTATCTCCTTTGCCCTCCAGAGTATTATATTCCATGCCCTGAGGTCCCTTAATGTAGAAGTTGCTAAATCTTGTGTTATTCTGATTGTGTTTCCACAATATTTGAATTGTTTCTCTCTGGCTGCTTGCAATATTTTCTCCTTGACCTGGGAGTTCTGGAATTTGGCTACAATATTCCTAGGAGTTTTCCTTTGGGGACCTCTTTCAGGAGGAGATCGGTGGATTCTTTCAATTTCTATTTTGCCCTCTGGTTCTAAAATATCAGGGCAGTTTTCCTTGATAATTTCTTGAAAGATGATGTCTAGGCTCTTTTTTTGATCATGGCTTTCAGATAGTCCAATAATTTTTAAATTCTTTCTCCTGGATCTATTTTCCAGGTCAGTTGTTTTTCCAATGAGATATTTCACATTGTTTTCTAATTTTTCATTCTTTTGGATTTGTTTTACAGTGTCTTGATTTCTCATAAAGTCACTAGCTTCCAATTGCTCTATTCTAATTTTTAAAGAAGTATTTTCTTCAGTAATCTTTTGGACTTCCTTTTCCATTTGGCCAATTTTGCTTTTTAGGGAATTCTTTTCCTCATT